AAAGTGGTGCCTGAAGACAGTGGAGACTACAGCTGTGTGTGTGGAGACCAGAAGACCACAGCAAGTCTCAATATCAAGGGTAGGATTTGTGATTTAAATCTGTATTTAAAGTATATCAAATTTTCTTTGTAATACAGTAACAGTTCTCACCTTTTTGTTTTTTCAGACTCTGACTTTTTTGTCACTACACCTGTTGTTTACATTTAAATGCAATGATAATACCTGGATTAAACCGCGTGGATGATTGTCTTATATTTGACTGATTTTATCTCAACTGAAGTGCTTGTACTGTGGCACTTGCTTCTGCTTTGAAATTTCTCCGACTGTCTGTTTATTTAGTTGTTCTGTTTCTGATGGATAATGAAATGTCATTCATGTGGGTGTTACTCTGTCACATTTTAGTGCATCATCAGGTTGAAACCAGTCTTCGTCTGAATTGCTTTTCTGCAGTGTACCTGCGTTTTGACAGTCTGACTTTTCCTTGAAGATTTCACTGCTTCTTCTTTTTCACTTCACCTATTTCAGGCAGCCTTACTTGTTGCTGCATTTTTGTGAGTTTTGGTTGTTTTCATCGGTGGTAGTCTTGGCACTGGATCTTTATGTTGGTCTATAAACCTCTCTTGTCTACATTTCATCTGATCTGTTCTGTCGTGTTATATTGCAGTTATTGGCTCTGTTTTATGGGGTCTAATCATTCCTGAAACTCCCTTTTGTCAGATGATAGTTTTCAATTTATATAATTGTGAAGTACAGCGATCTGAAACAAAATTATTTCCTCTCAGCTGTGAAGCTGGCAGCTCCTCCTTCAGCTGCTACAGAATCTAAGAGGCAGGAAACCAAAGAAAAAGGTATGAAAGGATGATGGTGATGTAATAACATAACTGTCAGTGTTATGTTGCCCTGTCCAGCTTGATAATGGCCTCTGCGCTGCCATCTGCAATCCTCCTTTAAATTGTACCTGTATGCTGTGGCCTGTAAAATGCATGATAGATATATTTGTCAGTATGCTGTTTCCTAGATTTTGGCTGTATCGAATATTCCTTCTGTCTTACAATAGAGTATTTAGGTCTCTTTCCCTTAAGGCTACAATGCGTAATATCTATATCATATTTGTATTTCAGAATCTCTGTCTGTAGTTGCTAAAGACAAGCACAAAAGGCAAGAGATACAGTGGGACAAAAAAGTATTTAGTCAGCCACCGATTGTGCAAGTTCCCCCAC